ATATATATGTGGTTATATATCAGATTATATGGTTAATCTATGAGATACGTATATCAGATATACGTTATGTGGTTTTTACCCATAACCATTTTTTCCATACTCTCTCTCATAAAACAACGATCAAGTCATTTTGTACTATGACTTGTCCATTGCTGGGTTCGTTGTTCAGATTTTGGAAGCACGTGATTTACCCATGAAGTTCTTCGCTACAAGGTATGATTCTAATATTTTTTCCCGCTGTAATATAATACTTTGATTTACAGTATTATAGAATAGATGTCTTTGCTTTGATACTATTTCCCCTCTGTCACCATAAATCTAATTAAAATTCCTTGAATTCATTACAATTTAAACCACTACAACAAATAAAAGTTTTAGAGATCAAATGTTTTGGTCTTTAAAAGTGAAAATTTTGTTGCAAAAAACATTAGGGACCAATTTTTATCGTCATGAGGATAGTCGTTAAAAGGTCGTCCCGAAAAGTCCAAAACAAGGCTTTTAGCAACAAAATTTTGTAAATGTCACTAATAAATAGACTTTTAGGGACAAATAATTTGGTCTTAAAATGGTTCCCAAAACGATAACAATTCATCACTAATGTCTAATTTTTGTTTCTAAAAATATAATAACGGCATTTTTCGTAATAAAAATATTTGGTCCATAAAAAATAATTTTATCTCCAAATTTTATTTTTTAAAACCTTAATTTTTTGTAGTGAGCCCATCACCAAAATGGTAGCTGTTGTGTATATGTTGGTGGTGATGGTGGCGGCTTTAGTATCAAGAATTATTTGGAGATGGTGAAGAAGTAACCATGGAGACATAGAAATTACTAAATGAATTTGGATATATTAAAATATTATTTATTTTTATTTGATCTTAGATGTTATTTGTTTATTTATTTATACTTGATAATAAATATGCTTTTTAGTTTTATAACTTTTTTAGTCAAAAAATAACTTTTTTAGTTGCATCCCAAACAATAAGGCATCCGCCCTTTTATCTTTCTGCTAATTAGAATATTATGTAGTTTGAAAGCTAATTTTGATGTTGGACCAAGTTAGAAAATGCTCAAACCAAAGCAATAAGTGAAAATTGAAGTGGGAAATTTGTTAGAAAACAAAAATAAAAAAAAGAAGAAATTTAAATACTTCTAGAATAAAAGGCAGACTTTTATACAAACGAAGGTTATTTTTAAATTTTTCATTGTTTTACTTTAAAAAATGAAATATAAAAATGAAGAGAGAAAAAAAGAAAAAGAAAAAAAGACGTAGCAAATAATCGTTGCTGTACACGGCTTGCCGCTCTCACTCACTTTTCGGTCTTGGTCATTTGCCTCATTTGAATTTAGCAACGTACTATATACTAAATTAATTCTTGTTCTAATTATACTATATGAATTTTTTTGCTGCTAATAAATCAATTTTCGAGAGAATTTCGGATCAGTATAGAATTTAATACAAATTAATAATAAATTTTATCAATATTAATAATTAAAATTGTAAACTTCCTCATACCTACGTAATAATTTCTTTAAATTACCACTGATGACGAGTAATTTCCCTTTTATTTTTATCTCTAGGGTATTCCATGTCAGCAATGTTATGTACCAACAAAAAAACAAGTTTTGAAAAGTGTTGAGTTTTGTAAAGAAAAAGTCTGTCAACCCAAACTAAACCATTGAGATTTTTGATGATAATTTGTAGTATTATTATTTTATAAAATGTGATATTCATATTCATATTAGATGTGACAATCATCTCACAAAATTTAAATTATATTATAATCAAATCTTTACAGTTTGACTCAAGTTTTACGTTGATTCTTATTATTTAAAAATAAACAATTTAGTTTCTACATTTTAAATTAAATTTCAATTTGGCCATTCCATTCAAATTTGAGGTTAAAATTAAAATATTTTCAACACTTATCAATTTTTTAAAGTGTATATATAAGAATGACCAAATTAAAATTATATTTAAAATATAGAGATCAAATTATTTAAATTAAAACTATAAAAACAAAACTGATAACTTAATAGAATTTTTCAAAATGTAGGTTCTAAAACTACTTGGGTATGTCGGGTTTGGGCCGCGCCCTAGATCTTGTTTGTCGAAGCCTCCTCTATGAGAAAAATGACACTATCTAATACTCTATTGCGAGCGCCCTTACAATTAAAATTCGCAACTACTCATATAAAATGTAAGTCAAATCATAAAAATAAAAGGTATAATTAACCCTTAAATAATGAGCATTCAATGAAATTTCTTGTACTCAACATTTTTGTTTGAGCAAATTATACTCACCTTTCTAACAATAAATAGCCCTAAGTTAGTAGTGGGGTTAACATGCATAATAAAATGACTAAAATAACCCTGTCTCCCTTACAATTAAAATTCACAACTACTCATAAAATTTAAGTCAAACTATGAAAATGAGAAGTGTAATTAACCCTTAATGAGCATTCTATTAAATTTCTGAGAGACTTGACATTTTTGTTTGAGCAAATTATGCTCATCTTCCTAACAACAAATAGCCAAGTTTTTAGTATTGGAAAATTATACAACCTCCCTGGGCTTAAAATGTTAGTGGAGTTAACATGCATAATAAAATGACTAAAATAACCCTTTCTTCAACACCATTTGCATCCATTGCTAGCCCACCTACCACCTTTGTCTCACAATCATTTCCACCCCTTGCACTACTACTCATCAGCACTCTTACTTTATAACTACCAACCTTCACTTTCTCTCCATCCTTTCACTTCTACCAATTGCAATACTCTTTACCTTGAACGCCACCTACCATTATCAAAGTTCATAAAGCCGAAATTTAAGAAGTTTAAAATATAAAAAAAATAAAAAAATTTCTTCTCATCCTTACAACCACCATTTCCACCCTACCCACCCCACCTCTACTCACCTCACCCCCACCTCCTCTCAACACTGGCATTTTTACTATTTTCAACCCAACCACCATTGCCTTCCAATGATTCACCCAAAACAAATAAATCAAATGAACCTGAACTCAAACCAAGCAAGATAGAGCCATAATACATACTCTAATATAGTGCACACCATGACATACAAAATTGAAATTAAATTCTCCAAAAATGAAAATAAATAATAGGAAAAATAAATATTTAAAAAATATATATAATATTGTTATGAATTTTTTTGGAATCATAAAAAGTGAATTTGTTCATTATATAGTAGTATAGATGAGAGATAACATATAAAAATGTAAATAATAAAGAGCAACACATGTTGCTTGTTGGGTTGACCCATTTCTTTAACATACTATATTAAGGGCAAAAGGAAAAAAAAAAAAAAATATCAATTCTTAAATTGATGAATTCATAACGGGTAATTTTACTTGGACCACAATTTGATCTCCTCACATCCATTTTCTCGTTATAATCAATCAAATTTTTACTCTTCTCTTTACACTTTTCAATATACCAATTTTTTTTTTTTTTTTTTTTTTTTTTGGTTACAGGAAAATCCTCTCACCCTCCCGCAGGTCCAAGACAGCGCCTTATGAGCAGATCACCAGGGTGTCTTGTTGTCCGTTCCAGTAAGAGACTATAACGTGGAAGCTTGTCCTGACCTTCCAATGCAAGTTTCGATTAAGTCAGGACTCGAACAATGGGGAGCATTAAACCCACACCAAATAGCTGATTAGGCATCCTTGAGGTCCAACCTCCTAACCAACAGTTCTTCGCCCAGGAGATTGGTCCAAGAAAAAAATTAAACTTGTGACCTTGCGACTTAAACCCCAAAACCTTATCACAATGCTACAACCCCTTGAGTTCAATATACCAATTTAACTTCCTTTTCAACCCCATATCTCCTTACATCCATTTTCATCTCTTCTCTCTCCTTCACTTTTCTCTCCTTCTTTCTACCATAGCCATCATCGGTCGCCACTGTCACCACATTCATAGCCCTTCAATCAACATGACCACCATCATCTTAACCACATCATTGCGATCTACTTTCCAGATCTTTACCTTCGTAAACTTCATCCTTACGACCCCTCCTCTCTCTCTCTCTCTCTCTCTCTTTCGCCACCACTACCAGTCACATTTCATTCTCCCGTTTACCTTTATCTCTGTCGATCTTCTTTTTCTTTTTTACAGCTGATTTGGGGGTTGCGGTAGTGATGATGATCTAGGGTTTATAGCAACGAAAGTATAGAAGAAGATGAAAAAAAGAAGGAAATGTGGGTTTAGTAAGGGAGAAAGTAGATCATGGTTGAGTAGGATGAGAAGGTTACCAAATCTGAACCAGGTCGTTGGTGGCATAGATGGATGGAGAGGAGAAAAGAAAGAAAGGACTTAGATGGAAGCGGAGTGGGCGGTGACTAGTGGAGGCCTAGGCGAGCGGTGATAAGTGGCAACAATGGTGGTCCGATGAAATGAGTTGAAAAATGGTAGTTGAAATGAGAAATTAAGGTTTGTATTTTAAGGGAGGTTGGTTTTTTTAATAATTTTAGTTAGGATTAAAATTATAATCAGTTTGCTTGGTTTTATTTTTTTAAAATTATTTTTCAAAAAATTTTATTTTTTTATTTTTTGTGTTTTTTTATTTTTATTGAATTTTTTTAATATTTTAAGCAATTTTTTTTTTTACTTTTTAGAAACACCTAACACAAATACATCCTAAAAGTAAAAAAATTGTAAAAAAAATTCACTAAAGACCAAAAATATAAAAAAGAATATAAAAATTCAGTACATTTTTTATATTTTTATATATTTATTAATTTTTTGAAATATTTTTTTATAAATTTTTAATTTTTTAGATATATATAAGTAAGGTGCATCTGAAAAAGTAAAAAAATATTTAAAATTTTAAAATATTCACTAAAAATAAAAAAAATACGAAAATTAAAAAACTTAATTTTCAAAAATCTAAAAAATATTTCAAAAAATTAATCTAAAAAATTCAAACCAAACATATTGAATAAATTTTTTTTGAAAATTTTAGGGAGGTAGAATGGTGGTACAAGTAAAATTACCCAAGCATAATATCCTTAATGGCGAGGGGTTCAGTGAAATGTAACTCAAATGCCATAGACGTCAGTGTAATTTAACAGCACTAATAAGTCATCTGTAATTTATAGACAATTGTTGAGGGAGGATTGTGTAATTTGCTATTTTTTATTTTTATTTTTAATTACACAAAAACCCTTCCAAAAGAGAGTCAGTCCACGCTCAAAATTTTCCCCCTCCCTCTCACAACATTTCCATGTGACTCGGATTGAACAAAAAAGACTCATCAAAACGAAGAACAGAGACACAGCCACAGACACAGAGTCACATTTTACAGAGAGAAAGTGAGCGAGAGCTAGAGAGAGAGACAAAGGGGGTCATCAAAATGCAAGATCCATCGAATTCAAACCCTAATTGTGGCCCCTCCGCCTCCTTGAGGCCGGCTCACCACCGGCGTGCCCACTCGGAGATGAACTTCCGGCTGCCGGACGACCTAGATCTCGTCGACGCTCCCTCGGGGAGTTTCGACGAGATCGGATCCGAGGACGATCTCTTCTGCACTTACATGGACATTGAGAAGCTCGGATGCAACGCCGCCGATTTCCCGATCGACAATGCCGCCAGTGGCGGAGTATCCGGAGAGAAGAATGTGAGGCCTCGACATCGACATAGTAATTCAGTTGACAGTTCGATTCTTCCTGGCGAGACTATAGAAGCAAAGAAAGCAATGGCTCCTGATAAACTTGCAGAGTTGTGGACGCTTGATCCCAAGCGAGCCAAGAGGTAACTTTACTCTGCAACTTTCCTTGAGTTTCAAACAAGTTCTGTTACTGGAAATTTGTGAATCTATGAAGTCAAATCATGGCCTTTTAAAAAGTTTTTAGTGATTTGTAGCTTGGAATTGAGAATTTGATCTACAATGCTGCTGTATTTGACTTCAATGGATGTGCTCTATACTTCTCTTTTGATAGTGAATATGTTTCAGGGTCAATTTGGTTATTGTTTTCATTCTTAGTTCCACTTTTGCTAGCCTAGAGATATACACATTGGGTATTGTATGTTACTTTCAGTAAAGTGCAACTAGATTGATCCAATTGGGGGGACCGTGTTCATTCTTTCAATTGACAATATGCTCAACACCTGGCAAAGGGGTTCCTTTGTGTCATATAATTTGAATCCTTGCAATGTTTTTACGCTTTGGATGATTAACCATCCCCTTCCATTGATTTGTGATAACTACTTGTTTAAAATTGAGGAAATTCTTTAGTGTGGGCATGTGCAGCAGTTATAATTGAATGTGGTCGAGCAATGTGGTCACTGATCGCATTGTGTAGTAAATATGTCAGGTTACGACAAACAACATTTGGTTGTGTTGACCACCTTTTAAAACATGCTAATTAATGGTCGACACATGGTTTGCATGATAAAGAAATGGAGTCATGTGAGGAAATCTATGAACCTGACAGGTGTTACCATCGCATGAGATCAGATACAAAAAGCATAAAGCACAAAACAAAGCATGTAGAAGATTAAGGGGATTGTTGAATGGTTAAAGGCAGTTATTCAATGCAATTATTTTGAGGTAGTTACATATGAAAGAGCATAAATATGAAGTCAGGAAAAGAGAACAAGAGCACAACAAATCATCAAAGACACCCAGCCCTTGTCAAATTATCCTTGGAATTTAGGATTAAATTTAGGTACTTAGATAGCTAGGATAAGATCTAGGATTAGACTTGGGGATTCATTAGGTGTAGGAGTACTAACTTCGAATGCAACACAAGTCTTTTGGACCTTGAGATTATGGGTTCAAATTTGAAGGCAGCCACCACTGTGTGCAAATTATGCCAAAAGTTTGGTCTATACTGAATCTACCCCTCTAACCTTTGAAGGACTTGAGGGTAATAGGTTGGCAACCACAATGTGTCAAAAACCAACCACATTTGACCACACCATTAATTAGTAACTTTTGAAGGTGCGAACCATAGGAGTGCGCACCATAGACTATTCATAATAATTGTCTAGATCAAATAATTCAACAACTAGGAATCGCAGACACTTCAAATGCAGTCTATGCAACCTTCTATTGGTTGCCGGAGTCAATCTCCTTTTTGTTTTTTATTTGCATGTTTAAAAGAACGTGAGTGTACCATATTTTTTGTTTTGAGAATGGTTTGGAACTTTGAAGTTGGATGAGAAGAAATTCCAGTTCTAATTCTTTGTGGCTGATATGGAAATTATTGTTAATGATTTCAATAATTTGATTGATTAGTGAATTTTGGCATTCTGCTTTTCCTATGTCTGATATTTTAGATATGTATGCAGAATTTTGGCAAATCGACAGTCTGCTGCTCGTTCAAAAGAGAGAAAAGCCCGTTATATAACTGAACTTGAGAGAAAAGTTCAGACCCTTCAAACAGAAGCAACCACCCTTTCTGCACAACTTACACTGTTCCAGGTGATTGTTTCAATTTGCTTTATGAGGTTTTAGTCACATGTTCGTTTGGGAAGTGGCTTTTTTGCTAAAATATGAGGTGAAAAAAACTAAAGTGTTTGAGAATGACTTTTTGAATTTATTAAAAAAATGTGCAAAAAGTAGAGAGAATGGGAAGAAATCTGTGACTTTTTGGTTTTTTAAATAAATCAGCCTATTGCCAAACGAGGCCGTAATTGTTTGAGTGTTTTACAGAAATGTTCTTCACTTTGTTGGTTTTACCTCGTAGTCATAGCTCCATATTTTTTTGTGGATTTGGTTAACGTGTGTGCTCTTAGGGTGCATGTTAAGAGGCTTAAAAAGATTATGCAGTCTGCATGAAAGTGAGTGCAATAAGAATGTATAAACCATGAGCCTTTTTTGATATATTTCATGCCAACAATGTTGATTCTGCATATTATGTTATGTGCAATAAAATAAGATATTTCATTCTGATCACTTGTCCTCGCTGCTTGATTAGGTGGCTTTGCCCTAGGCTACTGGAAAAAAGTCATGCTTTCTGCTCATGTTTAACTTTTGATCTGGACCCAGTTATGTTTCCTATGAAGCACTTAACTGTGAAATGCTCAATCAAGCCTTCACATCATAAACTTTTCCAATTTAGGTTAGAATTCACCCTTTTCCTCTTCACTCCTTTTCCTCTAGTTTTGAGCATGCAGTCTTCTTTCTCTCTCTCTCTCTCTGATTTTCAGCACATTAAACTTAATTAACAACTCTTACTCCATATATGGGGTCCCTATCTTTCGTGACTTTGTGGTAAAGTTATCTTTTATGACTTCTATAGTTATTAAATTTTCATTGTAACTTTAGATTTCAGTTCTCTTTCCTTCATCACGTATTGCTTTTACATTATTATGACTGCAATATTAAAGTTCATGACCTTTTTTTTTCCTCTTTTTATAGAGAGATACAATAGGTCTGAGTAATGAAAATACAGAGCTTAAGCTTCGGTTACAAGCTATGGAGCAACAAGCTCAGTTACAAGATGGTACGTTTCACCTTTGAACTTGGTTTTGATCATTTTTCCACACTAATGTTTAATTTACTTGTGTTCCATACATCTTTCATCAAAATATTTCATTAGCATATTAGTAAACACGTCTACTTTCTTTGGAATTGACATCTTTACTTGTTTCTGGGACTGCAGTACATTGTCTGCTCTGTGTAGTGGTCTAGAACTAATGAAAATATTAGATTATGTTGTATCCCACACAACACAAGTCCCCCCCCCCCCCCCCCCCCCCCCCACAAAACAAATTACGCTCTGATTATTTGGAAAACATGTTTTCCTGCATTTTCTAACACTTGGTATAAAGGAAAAGGAAAGTTAACGTAAATTTTTTTCCATAGTTTAACAGGGGGGAAAAAAAAAAAAAAATTTCCCTTTTTAAAAGGTGAAAAATGTTTTACAAACTATAAAGTCCTACCAATGCCATCCACCACCACCTCTGCCCTACTCCACCACCACCACAAATACAACCACTAGGTACAATAGTTTCAAGGACAAACTAATCATAGGAAAACTTTTTCTTTGAAAAACATTTCTGGAAAATTTTTTGTAAAACATATTTTCCATTGGGAAATGTTTTCAGCCGAAACAAATGGAGTGTTAATGTTTCTGCCCAAGAATATCTAGCTTTAAAAATTCGAATCTCGTTACAGATTTCACCCATCTGTTTTTCTGCTTTTTATGTATTTTCCTCCCGAATTTGCACCCTGTGAGAGTGAGATCATTAATGAGATATTATCTATATGAAACTGTTCCTCAAACACAGCGCTGAATGAAGCATTGAATCAGGAAGTGGAAAGGCTCAAAATTGGCACTGGAGAAATAACATCCCAATCAGACACATACAATTTCGGAATGCAACATTTTCCATATACCCAATCTTCCTTCTATTCCCAACAACCACAAGGACCTAATGACCCCCATCAACAGATGCAAATGCCACAGTTTCATTCCCTCCAGTCGAATATGCTAAATCGCCAGTATCCTCTGTTCGCAGCATCCCCATCACAGGCCTTTTCTGAGATGTTGCAGCAAGATTCCCTCGGTCGTTTGCAAGGCCTTGACATCAATGGCAGAGGCTCTCATCTTGTGAAGTCTGAAGGCCCTTCTATATCTGCCAGTGAAAGCAGCAGTACGTTTTAATCCAAAGGATAGTTAAATTGTTCATAGACTGACACACGTTTAGAATCCCAAAGTACCATTTCTTCTCAAATTTATTTATTTTTTTATTAATTTGATTGTGATTGTAGTAAGTCTTTCAAATTAGTTTTGACTGGTCAGTGATTTTTTTTTTCTGTCTGTTCAGTTCACAAACCGTTTTCTGTGATGATATGTTGTGTGTGAGAATAGAAAGTTGGGTGGTGGAGAGTGTTGTATCTTTCATACAATGCCACTTTTCATTGTTTATTTTAGTTCATATTATTTTAAACCTTCATGGGAAGGGGGAGTTCCTCGGTTGACTTTGTACTTCGATGAACTGAAAGTTCGTTTTGTATCATGATAATTTATTCAATGTTAAAATCTCTCTCTCTCTCTCTTGTGTGTGTATGTTTGGATAGGTTCAAGTTTTGATCTAATTTATTGTCATGGTTGTTTTGGTTGGCGGTAACTAGTGGCAATTTCACCAAATTGTGTTCAATTTTACCTGCGACAGAGAGCTTACACATTCTTGTTTGGAATTTAACTTACATGGACAGCTTCATTTTCACTTGTTTTTGCTCTTTATTTTTGGTTGTAAACTATAATTATTATTTAAATACTATTCTGCACTATAATTGAAGGTGAAAATAGAAGCCCATCAGCATTATTTTGTAAGCCATATTATAAAAAATAAGTGGGCTCTTACACTTTTGGGGGTTGGGAACACCTTAAAGTGGGCATTACTGGGATTTAGTGTGGGGTGTTAATTGCCAAAATAAAGTTAAACAATTCTTATGGAAGTCTTGTCGCGAGGACCTCCCAGTCTGCACGGCTTTGTTACAGCACAGAGTAGATGTTGGCTTTGTGTGTCCGGTGTGTGCTGATGCTTCAGGGACAATTCTACATCTCTTTGTGGAGTGCCCATTTGCTTTCCAAGTTTGGTACTCATCTCCTCTGCGTATTGATTTTAGGGGCATGCACTTTCATACTTTTTGGGAGTGGTTGTTGTGGATAGAAGGCAATTGGAAAAATACTCCTCATGCTGAGTGGTGCCTAGCCTTAGCAGCATCTATTTTATGGAAATTGTGGAAATGTCGGAATGATTTGGTTTTTGATGGGCTAAAATCTACGCCTGAGATGGTGTGGAGCTGGGCAGTGGATTGGGCATCATCATTTGCCACGGCCAATGTGCGGTCTGCTACTAGTAGGCCTCAGGTTGAAGTGGTGGAGAGGCTGTGGAGATGGGCGGCGGCCAGGCTTATTAAGATCAATTTTGATGGGGCCTTGTGTAAAAATGATGGCATTGGTGGGGCAGGTGTGGTGGCTAGAAAATGGTGATTTTATTCTTGGAAGATCAGGTACCTATACACGTTTGCTCGGCATTATTGGCAAAAGCTATGGCTGCTCGGGATGCTATGCGGTTGGCCTGTGCGTTTGGCTTTTTGACAGTTGTTGTGGAACTGACTCATAGATGGTGGTCGATACGGTTAATGGTAAAATTGAGGTGCACCATGAAATCACGATGGTGGTTCGAGATTTGGTTTTGCTGGGGGAGTCTTCGGGGGAGTGTCGGGCGTGCTTTGTGCGACGGAGGCAGAATGAAGTGGCAAATGCCTTAGCTCGGTTTGGTTGTTCTGGGGCTGGGTGCTGTGCTTGGGAGGCAGCCCCCCTGTGGTTGATGGGCCCTTTAATGGGTGAAGGTTTTGATGTTTGATTTGCTATCTAATAAAGACTTTACCATCTTTGACAAAAGAAAAGAAAGTATGTGTAACAAAATTTAAACTATTAATTTACAACCAAAAAAATACCAACATGGCTAGCATCTGAAACTCAGATCAGACAGAGTAGCTCATCCCTACATAGAAACAAAGGGAGAGAAAAAGATTTGGAAAATCTCCAGTTTCATTGAATTGAGAGAGAGTGTGTGTTGGGTCGAGTAATTTTTATATGCGCATAGGGTATATACTATGTGATACCTTCTATTATTGTGATTGGATTTGACAATAAGATTCACCACATTTATGTGAGGAGTTTGGAGAAAAATAGAAAGTATATACATTTGTGATTGGTGAAAGGTAGTGTCACGTAATACCATATTTGTATACAAAACCTTTTCAAGTCAATGAGAACACAAAATAACTCCAATGTTGGGTAGATATTGTTGTCCAAATTATATAAATAAAATAAAATAAACAGATTCATAATTAATTATTTTTATATTACAGAACAAGAAATCATAAATCTAACACATTCTAGAGATTACATTTTGATGAACAGAAATATTTAACAAAATCAAACACTGAAATAAAATAGTAAAGGAAGCAGACCGAAACCTGTGTAATACCACAGTCTTCTTAAAACAGATTCGCTGCCTCACCATGAGTACTGGAGGTATGTAGGCGTTTGTCTTTCAGGATACGACAGCATAAACCCGCTAACGCAGAAGCATATTCTGTTTAGCTCTTTCGAATCAACAATAACAGTACTCTCTCACACAAGAAGAAGAATATAGGGGCAGACTAACTGTATAGTATAGTATGGAAGCAAAAAATTTTGTACTGAAACCAAGAAAGATGGCCTCCTTTTATACACAATGGAGGAGAGAGAAGGAACCTCCCAGCTATGAAGACTGGCAACAAATGCAGCCCATTAGTAATGCACAAAACTAATAGGGGATAAGTGTGTGAGTTACACACTTTATATACACATGTGTGTATACCTGCAGCCACCAAACAAACCTAACCCAAAAAGATTAGGTTGGTGGGCTACAAATCTGGCCCAGCCCAAACCTAACCATTCTAGCAAGGCTCAAGCTCAAGCCCAATATCCAATATCCACGACCCATGAATCACGGACCACAGACCCGAACCCGCCCAGTCTGATTCGGGCGGTCGGCCGACCGGCGGGCGTACGCACGTACATGTGGCACTTTTTGCATAACTAACTTGGACCATAGTTTTGGCCCAAGTTCATCATTGAAGCATCCGTAATTCCCTTTCTTCAGAAAATTTAAATGCCCCAAAGAGCTTATGTCCTTATCAAAATCTTGAAGTTTAAATATCCATCAAAACTTTCTCTATAATCAATATGAGATTGGTAGTTATACACAATTCCCAACGCCTCCTTCATGAGGCCAATTTTATGAGACAATTTCTCATTCAATACTTAATGGTTTTTGGTCATTCTTTTTGTGGTGTAAAGATCTTGTTATAAAGAATCTAAATCCATTTGATCTCACCTCAAACAAGGGTTGGGACCTATTTTAATTTCACATTAAAGTTACCATATAACTATTTTTTCCAACAATCCCCCACATGAATAAAAATTGACCGAATAAAGAAAATGGACAATCGTTTACAACAAAGACTTGGAGAGAGAGTACACAGACTAACTCTGCATTAGAAAAAGTAGTTGTTGGCCTTGAACCTTTCGTAGAGCCTATCTGATTCACTGGTTGACTAGTGAACATGATGTCTTGAACTGTTTTGCTGTTTGTGTAAACTAAGACAATAGATCTCACATAAGAGTTAGTCTAACCATTGTTCTTGTTCTCATTGGCATGATTTTCCAATAAAAAATGTAAATAGAGTCAAATTTTAATAATTTAATAAATGTAGCTGCAAAAAAAAAAAACATTATAATTCGGGCAATTCGGGTTTAACTCGGGTCGGGCTTGGGCAGGCAACGTTAGGTTACAATTCGGGCCTAGGCAAATCTCAGCACAATTTGGGCTAGGCTTGGACAATCTCCCAACCTGATCGAACCCGCCCGAGTTGCACCCCTACTTCGCACTCACATAGGTGACCTATATAAGGTATCTCATTATACCACGGTTGATTATTCATATCACTTAGGTCATTAAAAACATTAGGTTAACCTTCCACCCCCACAGAGTATCACTGTACAAAGGAATCGATAAGAGAATTTACCTATTCAATAACTCACTTGTTACATGAAGTTAGGTTGTCCCTTTGAACCTAGATATTGGGATCTCCAATCAACTAGATTGGGTTTTCCGTTTCGGTAACATTACTAAAAGCCTTAACCTCATTCCTCTTGACGACGTTTCTATTAACTCTTGAGTTAATCCTTTGGTTAGTGGATCCGTAACGTTATCCTTAGACTTTACATAGTCTAGAGAGACAACTTCATTAGAGAGTAGTTGTCGTATGGAAATATGTCTACGACGGATATGTTTAGACTTTCCTTATACATGTTACTCTATGCCTAACCAATCGCCGATTGGCTATCACAATGAATATAGATAGCTAGCACAAGGTTCGGCCAACGTGGAATATCCTGAACAAATTGGCAAAGCCATTCAGCTTCTTCAGTTGCTTTATCCAAAGCAATAAACTCAGATTCATCGTTATCTCAATATACACGTTTGCTTGGAAGATTCCGAGGGTAGACACATAACCACTAGTGGATTTAGAATCCTTTATATTAGATATCCAATTAGCATCACTATACATTTCTAGTCTCGCTGGGTATTTGGTATAATGCAGCCCATAATCCCGGATGTAACGTAAATAATCTAACACCCACATAATGTCCCCCCAATGAGTAGCATTCAGATTACTTGTGTATCTACTAAGCCTGCTAATACAATAGGCTGTATTCGGCCTTGTACAACTTATCAGATACATTAAACGCCCAATGACTCCAGGCTATTCTAGCTGAGAAACACTCTCACCATTATTCTTGGTCAAATATAGTCTCAAGTCTACCAGTGTCCTAAACACACTTGTATCTGATTTACCAAATTTCTCAAGTATTTTCTCCATATAGTGAGATTGAGAAAGTACAATACCACTAAATGTTCTGGTAATCTTAATACCTAGAATTACATCTGTAAGGCCTATATATTTCATGTAAAACTTCGAGTTTAACAATCTCGTAGTAGTTCTAATCATTTCATCATTACTACGAACAATGAGTATGTCATTGACATATAGACATAAAATGACATAGCCTTTGTCTGTGTCTTTGACATATATGCATTTCTCACACTCATTGATTCTAAACCCATTGGACAACATAGCCTTGTCAAACTTCTCATACCATTGCTTAGGAGCTTGTTTCAAACCATATAATGACTTGACAAGCTTATAGACTTTCTTATTTTGCCTTGGAGCTAAAGACCCCTCGGGTTGCTCTATGTAGATTTCTTCATCTAAATCTCCATTTAAGAAAGCTGTCTTTACATCCATTTGATGTATCTCCAAACCATGTAAAGCGGCTATCGCAATCACCATGCGAATAGATGTAATCCTTGTCATAGGTTAACATATATCAAAGTAATCCAAGCCTTCTTGCTGCATGCATCCTTTGATAACTAGCTTAGCTTTATACTTATCAATTGACCAATTCGCTTTCATCTTTCTCCTAAAGATCCACTTACTCTCCAAGGCCTTACTGCCTGGAGGTAGATCAACCAACTCCCAAGTATGGTTCCGTAAGATGGAGTCAATTCGCTTTTTTCTATAAAGGACTTTTAGGTGAAGTCACAGCTTCATAGAAAACTCGAGGTTTTCCCTTTAACATATAACTCAAGAAATCCATAGCCCTCTTACTCCTTCTTGGCTTATCTACTTCTTCATCTTGATCACTATCACTAGGATCATCTCAAGTTCCTTTTTAGAACTTTGATTCTGTTTACGGGTTCGGCAAGGAAACACGTTCTCATAGAAAGACGCATTCCTTGACTCCATCATGATATTCTTATGTATATCTAAAATATTAGACTTGTGCACAAGAAACCTATATGCACTACTATTTTGTGTATAACCAATGAATATACAATCCACGGTTTTCAGACCTCTCCTAACCCGCTTAGGTGTAGGTACCGCCACTTTTGCAAGACACCCACACATTCGTAGGAAATTATAAGAAAGCTTGCGGCCTTTTCATAATTCATATGGAGTCTTGTCCACGTTCTTTCAAGGTATTCTATTTAGAATGTAATTTGCGAAGAGACTTGCTTCCCCCCACAAGTTCTGTGGCAACCCAGAACTTATCAACATTGCATTCATCATTTCCTTCAACATCTTTTTTTTTGCTCAGCAACACCATTTGACAGAGGGAAATAAGGTGCTGTAGTTTGGTGGATAATTGCAGATTGAGCACAAATCTCAATAAAAGGCGATTCATATTCTCTACCAAGATCACTTCTTAAAGCCTTGAGCTTTCAACTTAGTTGATTCTCAACTTCATTCTTAAAAAAAATAAACTTATCAATCGCATCATCTTTGCTTTTAAGCAAATACACATAACAGTATTTAATATAATCATCAACAAAAGTGATGAAGTATTTGTTACCACCACATAATTGTACGAATTTCAAGTCACACACATCACTGTGCACTAAATCTAAAGGCCCGGTACTTCTTTCAACAGAATGAAATGAAGTCCTTATCAATTTAGCTTCTACACAAGTTTCACACTTATGATTTGGATTAATCTTGAAAATGGTATGTGATCTAACTTAATTAATCTATGCAAAGAGTCAAAATTCACATTACCAAGTCTATCATGCCATAATTTAGAGGACTCAAGCATATAAGCAGAAGAAGAAGTTTTCTCATTAATCTTAGGGATAATAATCATTACATTGAACTTAAACATACTGCCCGACATATACTCCTTCCCCACATAGACCCCGCTCTTGGTCTGCACGACCTTATCAGACTCAAACACCATGAGGAAGCCATGCTTGCTTAAGAGCGACCCGAAGACAAGGTTCTTACAAATGTCCAGAACAAATAGGACAGTATTCAAAGTCAGCTCTTTTTCTAAAGTCATCTTCAGGACCACCTTGCCTTTACCCTCAACAGTTGAGGTTGTAGAATTTCTCATGAACAACTTCTCACCGTTTGAAATCGGTTTAAAAGTTGTGAACATCTTCTTCTTAGCACAAATGTGGCGAGTGGCCCTAGTGTCCACCCACCATTCCTTCGGGTTGGACCCCACCATGTTCACCTCAGAGACGACGGCTAACAGATGCATGTCGTCCACATCTTGTGACAAATCCTCCATTTTAGCCATGTGTACCCGACTTTTGTTTTGTGGAGGATACTTCTTGTAATGCTTCTTCTTCTTGTGGTAATCAACCTCCTGATGCCCATCGCTTCCATAATTGAAGCACTTTCCATTGAACCTAAAGTAAGTTCCTTTAGCTTGTAAATCGACCTTTTGTAGACATTGCCTCTTGCCTCCAACTTTGAGCTTTTTCCTGTCGGTGGCTTTTTCTTCATGCCCGAGGACTAGCCATGCTTGACCACGTTTACTTTCATAGTGGAGGTACTCCTCATTTTTTTCTTGTTATCCTCCTCAATTCGGAGCCTGACAATGAGCTCTTCGACTATCATCTCCTTTCGTTTATGTTTCAAGAAGTTCTTGAAGTTTTTCCAGCCATTAGGTAGTTTCTCAATCAACGCAGCTGTCTGGAATGATTCACTCAAGAACATTCCCTCTGCATGAATCTCATGTAGAATTACTTGTAAATCTTGGACTTGACTAATGATGGTTTCTAAGTTTACCATTTTGAAGTCTAGAAATTGACCAACGATAAATTTCTTTGCCTCAGCATCCTCGGTCTTGTATTTCTTGTCCAAAGTAGGGCTGTAAACGAACCGAGCCAAGCCAAGACGAGCTTTACTGAGCTCGTTTACTTATCAAGCTCGTTTATTGAGCTTGAGCTCGGCTCGATAAGGAACTGGGTTCAAGCTCAACTCGGCTCAGCTCGTTAATATTAATTAAAACTCAAGCTGAGCTCGACTCGATAATTTTTTTTAAATATTATTTATATTATTTAATATATAATTTAAATAAAAATAAACGAGTTGAGCTTCTGAATAATTGAGCTCGAGCTCGGCTCATTTACTAAATGAACCGAGCCGAGCCGAGCCTTTAATGAGCGGAGCGGAGCCGAGCTTATTCATGAATAGCTCGGTTCATTTGCAGCCTTAGTCTACAGCATCCCACAACTCCTTTACTGACTTGTTGGCATAAAACACGTTGAACAGTGAATCGTCCAAGCCATTAAGAACATAGTTCTAGCAAAGGAAGTCTTACTGCTTCCAAGCATCTATAGCCATGAGCTTCTGCTTGTCTTGCTCATTCTCCTCCACGGCTAGTGGATCGTTACTCAAAAACCTCACAAGGCTAAGAGTAGTCAGGCAAAACAGAATCTTCTGCTGCCACCTCTTGAAATTCACTCTAGTGAACGTCTTCAGGCACTCATGATGGTTGAGCGATTCTCTCGGAACAACAAGAGTGGCAACAGGATTGACCAGAGAAGTCATAGCAACAGGGTTGACCACAAAGATCACAACAGGGGTTGGCAAGCCAATTGCCCTAGGGTTTTGATCCCCACCAACATTAGCAGCAGCATCAGTGACAGTTACCATTTTTGAAAAATATAACAGAATTTCACTATTTTGTATTTCCAGAAATTAAACTTAACATTAGAAAATCTCAAAGTTAGAAATTTAATTCAAAACTAGTCATACCACTTACCCTAAAATCGAACACGGTCATGAAAATTTTCAGAAAGACTGGAGGAATCACACCGGTCCCACTTAAGACCCAGTTAATCTTAGACAAAACATTCAAGAACATGTTGACTCCTACTCCATAGGAAACAATTTTCAGAATTAAGTTTTACAGGGGATAAACTAGTTTAAAACAAACCAAGTTCCAAAATTTACAAGCAATTAAAAAATTGCTAACCAAATTGCCAGAAATTAAAAAAATTATTACAACAATTACAAGTAAATAAAATGCTTCCAAAACAACAAGCCAACAAACTTGCTTAAAAATTATTGGTAGATAACCACAACTAAGACTCAAGCAAAAAATGCTTTAAATATAAAAAATATAAACCAATCCAATTAGGATTCTATTTGGTCCAAAACTCCTTTCCACGCTTAGGTATTTCTTTTCAGTAAAAAGGTTAGTAGTCCAACTTTTTATTGCAATCCCAAATTCTATTCATTTGGTTTTGCAATTTTTTATTTTTTTTTCTTTCCATTCCTTTCTGTATAAGTATTCCTGTAAAGAAAGTAAGCAGAAAAACCCCCAACAAAATGTAATGCACACATTATTCATAAAAACATCCCTCAGTTTTTCTTTACTTTTGGTAAAGTAGTGATTGAAGGAGGACACAATTTTATCCCATAAGTTTTTCTTTGCTTTTAGCAAAGTAGTGATTGAAGAGAGATGAAAAAGAAGCACTTTCTAGCAATCTAATTAATAACACAAATAAGTAAAGAATAACATACTAGACAAGTTACAAAAAACGTATAACTCTAAAAATTAAATTGAAATTAATTGGCAAGAGTTATAGGAAATTATTATACAATAAATATGTAAATAATTCTAGTAATTAACATGCAACTAAGTATTTTAGTCAAAAAGTCAAAAAATCACTATAAGTTGTCACACCACTCTTTCTACTTTCTGCACATCTTTTCATAAAGAGTCAAAAAGTTACTAAAATAGTCTGTTCCCAAACGAGACCTAAACTAAAAATTAGAAATAAACTCATGCAAACATTTCTAGAGCACTAGACAATAATAAGCATAATTCGTTTGGGAACCCTCCCTTTTAGTTAAAAAGTAAAAAAATTACTAAATTTGCCAAAAAGTCAACAACCCATACCAAAAAGTTAAAGATTCTCTTTTCTCTCTACTTTTTGCACATCTTTTCGTAAAAAGCCAAAAAATCATCCCAAACATACTAGTTTTTTTAGCTCATATTTTAGCCAAATAGCCAAATTACTAAATTAGTCTGTTCCCAAACGAGGCCTTAACTTAAATTTAGAAAATTTTGAACATGCAAATTAGGGTACAAATCTAGAATTAATAAACATGCGAAGTAAACTAAAATATAGAACATGTGAACATGTACATAATTCTAGAACTTTAAAAAATAAAGAACATGCAAATTATCTTAAAAATCTGGAAAAGAATAGACATGTGAATCAAACTAGAATGTAATAGATATTGAACATGTTAATTATACTAGAAAAGTAGGAACTAATTAGCATGTCAATGTTTATAAAAAATTTAAACACTCATGAGTATGAGTATACAAATTATATTATAAAATTATAAAATAAAGAAGTATACAAATCATGGTAGAAAATTAAAAATCATGATCATAAAATTAAACTATATTAGAAAACAATAATAGAACCAAATAGTGAGCGTGCAGAATATGTTAAATTAGAAATCACACACATAAACTTATACAATTAGTGCCAAAGCCACACAACATAAATGAGATATTTATTTGAATTCTAATCATTAACTTTCAAATAAAAAATAGTTGTTTGGTTTTTGTTTTTGTTTTTTTTTTTAAATAACTTACCGAAGCACAAATCTAGTGCAATCACCCAGGAACTAATCTAAAGAGTCTGTTCTATATACTAACAGAAGCAAACATAATGTAATAAATTAACCTATTACAAATTCTAGTGGTGACTACAGAACCTAAACATATGTAAAATATATTTTTTTCCCGATTAATCGATACAAAGCAGAGAACACATATCATCTAGTATAAATATTATGAATTTATTTGTCTAATTTTATGGGAAAAATATAACTTATTTTAAGATTGTTGTCTAAATTATATAAATCAAATAAAATAAACATATTCATAATTAATTAAATTTATATTACAGAATAAGAAATCTTAAATCTAACACATGCTAGAGATTACATTTTGATAAGCAGTAATATTTAACAAAATCAAACACTGAAATAAAATAGTAAATGAAACAAACTGAAACCTGTGTGATACCACAGTCTCCTTAAAACAGATTCGCCGTCTTATCATAGGTGCTGGAGGTATGTCGGCGTCTGTCTCCTAAGATACGACATTATAGACCCGCTAACGCAGAAGTACCTTCTGTTTAACTTCGGCGAACCAGCAATAGCAGCACTCTCTCACACAGAAAGAAGAATATAGGGACAGACTGACTGTATAGTATAGTATGGAAGCAAAAAATTATGTACTGAAACCAAGAAAGATGACCGCTTTTTATACACAATGAGGGAGAGACGAGGAGCTTTCCAACCATAAAGGCTGGCAACAAATGCAGCCCATTACTCTTGTAAAACTAACCTGACCCAAAAAGATTAGGTTGGTAGACCACCAATCCGGTCCAACCCAAACATAACCAAGATCCACGACCCATGCACCCGGCCCGGCCCGACCTGGTACAGGCGACCCGCTTGTGGCACTTTTTTCATAACCAACTTGGACCATAATTTTGACTCAAGCCCATCCTTGAAGCATTCATAATTCTCTTATTTCGGAAAATTTGGATATCCCAAAGAGTTCACACCCTTATCAAAATCTTGAGGTTTAAATACCTATCAAAACCTTCCTCTAGAATCAATGTGAGATTGATAGTTATACACAATTCCCAACACCTTATTCATGAGGCCAACTTTATGAAACAATTTTTCATTCAATACTTAATGGTTTTTGGTCTTTTTTTTTTTTTTTTGGTAGTAAAGATCTTGTTACAAAGAATCTAAATCCATTTGATTTCACCTCAACCAATGATGGAAACTTACTTTAATTTCATATTAAAATCAACATAAAATTACTTTTTTCTAACAGAAGCAGGAAGGGGGAGAGAGAGAGAGAGAGAGAGAGTTGGAAAATCCCTTTTAACAGTTCATAACAAACTATAATTTCATTTGAAAACTCACCTTTTTTTTTTCTTGATTTGTAGAACAAAACCAGGGGTGGACAAACGTTGGGCTAGCACTACATAATAAAGAACGTTGGGCTAGCACTACATAATAAAGAATTTTGTATCTGTCCAAGCTCAGTACGGTTCTAACATCGGGCCTTTGTATCTGTCTAAGCCCGGTTCAAAAAATAACTATAAATCACAAGGCCACGCATTGGGCTATATGTTAAAAAAAATTTAAAACATTCCATAATTAAATTCAATCAAACATTATATTTCTTAAATAAATATACTAATAGCATTATAAATTGAAAGAGTCTGTGTATGAATTGAAGGATTTCTTTAATAAATTAAATCACACATCACCACATATGTGAGTTTCAATAAAATCAATAAAGATAAAATTTAAATCCCAACAAAAAATATATTTTTAAATATATTATAAAAAATTAATAATTTAATAGCGGGCCAGGCCGGACAGGATTGAAAGTATAAATTCTAAATCCAACCCATTAATATTTCAAGTTAAAAATATTGACTCATTCTGACCCAACCTTTCTAAACCCTAAAAAAATAAAACTGGACCGAATGGTCTAAACAGGCCAACGACATGTCCACCCCAGTATGATGATAAATTGGTCTTTGTCAAAAAAATATTCTGATAATGGCAAATTGGCAATGATGCTCTCATTACTCAGCAACTAACAATGACATACTTGAAAATGCCACTTAACTGCCTCATAAATTCTACACATTTAATATATATATATATATATATATTTGTTAGGATGTGCATTTTGGTGGAAAGTGTTTGAGTGTGTAAGATGCATATCATATATATTTGTATAAATTTTTATAAATATACATAAGTTATTTCAAAAATCGCACAAATTCTTACAAATATATGTAAGTTGTGATTTCTCAAATTTTTATAAGTTAACTTACGTATGTTTATAAAAATTTATGTAATTTTATGAGATAATGTATATATATTTGTGAAAATTTATATATGCACTTGCATACTTAAGAATTGTCCATTTTGTTAATGAGAAGAAGCAAATGTTGAATCATCAAGTTATATGCCATGCCGGATCGAAAGTGTCTTCTTTAATGATAAGCAACTTGAATATTTTTTTTTTTCTATTATTTTTGTTTGCTTTTCTGGAAATGTTGTCAAACTTGGAACTCATAACACATTATTTGATGGTTGCTGATGATCTGCCTAGAAAATAGAAAATATGTTTTTATTTATTTTTTCTAAAAAACAGAAAATATATTTGGCCTATATTTTAAATGAAAAAATATATATATATATATATATATATGTATGTATAAAAATATATTTGGTGAGTTGAAAGAAGGAATAGTCAGAAAGTAAGAGGCAGAGGGTGCCCAAAGAGGGTGCCTAAAGGGTTGAGGTTGGCAAAGGTGGTGGCCAACAAGATGGGATGGGGTTGGGGAGAGAGGGAGAAGGAAATAAAAACTTATTTTCATGCAAAACATATTTCTTTTGTTTCTTAAAATTCTATAAATTTCGAACAACACTATACACCTAAAAACAAAGTACTGCAAACTTTATTATAAAAATAAAAT